ATTCTACATTTAAATATTTAAATTTATTAAAATCTACATATTTTGCACTGTTTTATGTATTTAAGACCTTCCAGACTACATACAATCATAAGTGTTACATATTTTTGAACTCGTATTGAATAGTTGAACTCGTATGAAATTCACACTGAATGCGTGAAAAACCATACCAGACCACAAAAATTAAATGTATGATCAGGTACAGTAGGTACTTAGTCAATTGGGTCATTTTTTATCGAAGAAATTTAGTAGTGGTGTAAATGTTCGGCGCTATTTAGATGAGATATTCGTACGATAAATTGGTAGACAAGGTAGAATTGAATGGCCTCCACGTTCACCCGATTTCAATCCTAAAGATTATTTTTATTAGGATACTTAAATTCAGTTTACAAAACTTAACCAGCCAAGTCTTGCAGAGCAAAGGCAACGAATTATCGATTAATCTCAAATAATTTCTAGACAATCATGGAGAAATGTGGTAGACGCATTCTACCATCGATTAGGGTACTGTCAACTCACAAATTGAGCACATTTTGAACACTTAATAACGTAACTATTGTTAAAAAATGGTCTAATCTATCAATTGTTACGTTTTAATGTAGTTGAAAATAATTAGTATCAAAAAATTTATTGAAATCAATTAGGCGTTGGCAGACTTCTGTTTTATGTATTTAAGACCTTCCAGACTATAAAAAATCATAAGTGTTACATATAGTTGAACTCGTATTGAATAGAAGATTCTAATAATGACTGAATATACAGGGTGATGCATTTGAAAACCCAAAGTTACTAATAATATCAGAGAAACGGCAAATCTGGCAACATTGCAAATATCAAATATGGAATCTCTGTATCCCAAAATAGGTGTACCTCAAATTTTGTACAATTATAACTAGCAATTTACGAGATAATTGGCCGTTTCCAGACTTTTGGGCCACTCTGTGTAGGGGAAAGTGGGGGAACCGTGCGCGGTGGGGAACGGTGCGCACCATTAAAATTCAAATTACGCGGCATACTGAGAGTCCCTCCCGAACAGGCTTAAGCGGGAACATGCACAGAGTCTCTGAAGCCATTAACTGCCACTGCAGTTGAGTTGTGTACTTAGTGAAAGGCGAAAGTGTGCATTTGAGGTTTTTGTTACTATTTTCCACTTGCACAAATTAAGACGGTGAGTCCGTAAATCTTAACTACTTGTTTTGAAATAATTATATTCTTAAAGAATATCATCTGCTGCATATATGCACACCATTTGGTTGCATTTAGATAAGTAATTTTTGTAGGATGATGTAATTACGTTTTTAAACCATAGTGGGGTAACCGTGCGCGAAAATGCGCACGGTTACCCACTAATCAATTAAATATGAAGCAATATTGTTATCGTTTTTGGGTACTAAAATCCGTCTTTTATTTTCAGATGCCACGAAATTACGTTCGAAAGACTGAAATCCATCAATATAGTGATGAATTGCTGGAGACTGCACTGAATGCAATTAGAAACGATGGGAGGAAAATACGAGAAGTTGGGAGGTCTTTTGGTATTCCTGAATCAACACTCAGAAAAAAGCTTTCTCTAAATCAACTAAAAATCCCCATCTCGGTAGAAAGGCGATTTTTACAGCAGAAGTGGAAGCTGAATTAACCCACTATATTCTGACACTCGCAAAATTGTTTTACGGCGTAACGCCCCGACAACTGAGGCAGTTAGCGTTTAATTATGCTCAACAGAAAAATATTCCAAATAATTTCAATAAACAAACTCAGTTAGCAGGCAAAGATTGGTTGTATGGGTTTCTCAAGCGAAATCCTGAAATATCATTGAGACAGCCTGAGGGGACTAGTCTTAATCGAATTGCTGCATTTAATGCGGACGAGTTAAAACTTTTTTATTCAAATCTCGAGAAAGTTTTACAAAAATTTAAATTTGAAGCAAACAGGATATATAATATGGACGAGACGGGTGTAACCACTGTACAGAAGAAGTGCCCGAAGGTTTATGGACGTAAGGGTGTAAAAAAAGTAGGAGCTGCTATTTCAGGTGAAAGAGGGAGGACCATTACAGCCGTATTTTGCATGAGTGCCACAGGAAATTATATCGCGCCCATGCTGATATATCCCAGAAAGAGAATGGCTCCTGCGCTGCAGAAAAATGGGCCAACTGGTGCTAACTATAAATGTTCAAAAAATGGATGGATGAATTCTGAACTTTTTCTTGATTGGTTAATGCACTTCGAAAAACAGGCAAATCCACTTTAAATGACCGATTCTCCTTATCCTTGACAACCATTCAAGCCATATATCCATAGAGGCATACGATTTCTGTAAGTCAAATCATATTCATATGGTGTCCCTTCCGCCACATACTTCCCATCACCTTCAACCCTTGACCTATCCTTCTTTGGTCCTTTAAAAAATGCGCTATACAGGGAGTATGATATTTATTTAACTACAACAGGCCATGAAAAGATCACTGAATATGACGTAGCTGAGCTGTTAAATAAAGCGTTCGTAAAAGTCGCATCGATGGAGAAAGCAGTTTCGGGATTTCGTTCTGCTGGAATAAGGCCATTTGACCCTAACAAATTCAACGAAGATGATTTCGCTCCGGCCAACGAAATGAGACAGTTTGTAGTAGAAGGTTCTCCCGAACGTAGCGCTAATTTATTAACACTTGCATCTCAGCCAAATCTACAAAAAATTCCTAATCCGGCAACACCCGAACCTAGTGAAAATTCAGACGGTGAAGATAGACAGACAGCTCATATGCCAAAACAACAGCAGCAGGATCTACCTATTCAAGGTCATCTACCATGTACATCTACCGCTGAACAAGATCATCTACCATCTACATCTAAGTCTGGACACAACCATCTACCATCGACATCTACATTAAATAATTCATTCTTCCAATTTGCACCTATTCCAAGGAGAAAAGAAAAAGGAAGAGTAAAAACAGTGTCTCGTTCGAAACAACACTCTGAAATATTGACTAGCACACCCTAAAAGAACGATTAGAACAAGCTCAAGCAAAGAAAAGGGAAAAAGACGTGAAAAAAAACATGAAATTAAAAAGTGTCAAAACATTAGGAAAGAACAATATTAAGAAAGATAATAAGAAAATGAAGAGGGCTCCAACACCTGAACTTGATGCACAAGAACGTGACGAGGAAGATGAAATCGAGAATGCTTATTTCTCGATCCCACCTCACTCCTTCTACGGAACCACTACAAGAAAAATAACGGCAAAAGAGAATGTTGCAAAAAAAGTAAAAAAACGCATATGTCAGTCTCCGGAAATTAAAAGAGGGAGAAATAAGAAACCAGCAACGCCTGAATCATCAGAGGTATCTGACATAGACGATAGTGACATTTGTGACGATGATGAAGTAGACGATATCAACCCCAACTATGTTCCATTTGATGCAGAACCTGACGTGCGGACTGAATTATGTGGCATATGTGGAGAACATGGAAAAAGCGAACTATGGTACCGGTGTGTTGCATGTGGCTTATGGAACCACGCGGCATGTACCGGTAAAGATGCCCCGAACAATACATTTGCGACTTTTGTCAAGGTTAAACAGATACCTACTTAACATTATAGGTATATAATCACTCGTACAATAAATATTTGTTCTTGCATGTGAATTTGTTTTTATACCACTGTATTATTAGGTACTTGTATATTCCAAACTACTGCGCACTGTTCCCACCCTGTGCGCACAGTTACCCCATGGGGTGGGGAACGGTGCGCAAATGCAATTTTTTACTTTTTCTAATTATATATGATTATGTTAAGAAATTCAATATCTATTATAGTGCATACTGAAAGTAGAATAATTAGGGTATCAGATAACGTTTTTATTTTATTTTTTATGTTTAAGAGTTGACCACCACAACGATTCTCGCTTAGGTGCGCACCATTCCCCCACCTTCCCCTAAATACTATCCAAAACATCTACCAAAACAACAAAACGGAAGTCATAATAGATGGACAACTTACAGAACTTATAGAAATAGGCAGCGGAATAAGACAAGGGGATTCATTGAGACCCATGCTCTTCAATTTGATCATGGATGAAATCATGAAAAGCATTAACAAAGAAAGATGAGATAGAATGGGAAACAAAGAAATAAAAATACTCTGTTAGGCAGACGAAGCAATATTGATAGCCCAAGATAAAGATAGTCTGCAAAGACTGGTCCACAGATCCATGATGGTGAACCAGGTGTAAAATAGAAATTAATGGCATCAGTACTAAACAAGTAATGGAAATAAAATACTTGGGAATTACACTGTCTGGCTATGGAGACCTGGACAAAGAAGTAAGAGATCAAATACAAAAAGCAAATAGACTGGCATGATGCCTTAATAACACTATATGGCGAAACAGACACATTAACACTGAGATGAAGTCAAGAATTAATAAAGCCAGTGTAAGACCAATAATGACATATCTCTCAGACACCAGATGCAACACAGCCACAACGAAAGGCTACTGAATACTGCAAAGAGAAGAGTACTGAAAAGAGTTACAGGAAATACGCTGAGAGATCGAAAGAGAAGTGAAGACATTAGAAGAAAATGTAACGTACAGTGTATAAATGAATGGACACAAAATAAAAAAAAAATGAAATAACCACGTAAGCAGAATTGGGGAGACCCGTTTCGTCAAAATAGCCAGAGATAAGTCACCAATCGGCAGAAGAAGTATCGGACAACCACGCAAAAGATGTAGTGACAACCTTCCATAGAAAATATGGCGCCAATGAATAAGCAGAATTGCTTATAAAGAGAAAGAAGAAGAAGAAAAAAATATACATCAAATGTGAATTAGTCAGGTAAACGGAATAATTTAGATACAGAAAAGGCAGTTAGGAATAATTTAGGTTTCTAAGTCTCCTTCAATAATGCATTGTTTTTTACTTATACTGTCTGTAAATTTAAAAATTAACGGTTGATCATGGTTAAACGCTCTTTGTTACTAGTTTAAATTTGTTTTCAGAGACATCCTGAAAATGGTGGAAAATCTTGTCCCAAAAAGTTAATCCAATCAAAGGTATGTTACGTGAATTGTGCCAATTCTGCGGAATTCGAACAAAGACATGTATCCGAGGAGCACGAGGAAGAAAAGAAACCACAGTGTATAATGTCAGACTGGACAGAGTTTACGCCATGCAGTTCTATCTGTGGTCCGTCTGCAATGCAGTTAAAAACGAGAAGGATTTTGTACAAACCACCAGGTGTGGTGTGCCCTCCTAGAGTTATGTATAAACATTGCAATTTACCTTTGGCATGCACGCCAGATGGACGACCTATATTTTTGTAGATATTTTTATTAAAATACACAAATTTGTTATTTATTGTTTTAATTAAACTATAAAAGTTTAAAAACGTGTCGTTTGTTTTATATGAGAAATAAGTATCGCACAGAAAGAAACACTGTAACTTGTGTGATTTATGTAAATCAGAAATAAGTTAATAAACTAAAAATCGGTAGAATCTGATATTATCACGAAAAGATTGAAATACTTTCCTACAGTATCACTTATTTGTCACGCAAACATTGTTCCCACATTATCATCAATAGGGTGAAAAATTGACAGATTTAAGAGTGAAAAATTTATAAGAAATAACTTACGAAATTCAATTAAGAAATACTTCTTTTTCTTAAAGGGCCTATCCTCCATGAATGTTAGTATATCACATTGGACCATATTACTCTATCTACTGCCGATCTGAATAAACATGTTTACGTATTTACCGTCTATATTCATAGCCGTGACATTCTTCTGCGTCTTTGATGTTTTAATTTACCTGCAAAATCAGCTGCAGCAGGTTGAGTTGCTGTTCGTCACTATATCTATAAAAGCAGTGTCATTCGGGTACTTTAGGTTGTTTACCACCTCACCATTCATTACTGTTTTGTCTTCTCTTCTAAATCTCTTCTCCTTATTCTTTGAGCCTTTGTCAGGGTATGGTGACAGGTCTAAATATTATTAGCTTGCTGTCTTCATTGGCTGCGATCCTATGCCATATGAACGGCTTCATATAGAGATTTTCCTTTGGAATCTTTATTTGGTCTGTCCATCATGTTATAGATATTCTTCTTGGTCTTCTTCTTTTATATTTTTTTTCACTACCATTAGTTCCTTGGTCCTCGTTCTTATATTTAAGTGGCCGAAGTAAATTAGGTATGCTTGGTTTACTTTTTTTAATAGCCTGTCTTGTATATAATGATCTTCCATAATTAACAGGCTGTTTCTATGTTGTGTCTAGAACATGCGTAAAATTCTTCTGTATGCCCACATTTTGTAGGCTTTGATCTTATTGCTATCATATTTTTTGAAAGTTCATATTTTCAGCTGCGTATGTAGCAATGGGAAAAATAAAAGCATTGACTAACCTGAGCTTAGTATTCCTTGTGATTGTCCGGTTTTTCCATATTTGAATTAATTTAGCTATTGAGGTTGGGGCCATTGCTAGTCTACGCTTGATTTCTGAGGAGTAACCGTCATTTTTGGTTATCAGGGAGCCCAAATATACAAATCTGTCTACCAATTCGAAATTCGCCAGTTGGTGCTTATGCGGTAGATTATTATTTGCTCTGTCTACGATCCTTATTTTTGTTTTTCCGGTGTTAATCTGAAGTCCGAATTCTTAGCTTATCCGGCTTAGCCGTTAAATGATTGTAATAATTTCGACTTTATTCGCTGCTAGTATAAGGGTGTCATATACGTATCGCAGGTTGCTGATTTTTCTGTCTTCTATAGTGATTCCGCCATCCCATTCGTCCAGTACTTTTCTCATTATGTAGTCAGTATATGCGTTGTATAATAAAGTTGATAGTATACAGCAGTTCCTTTCTGTGTTTTAAACGTATCTGAATATATTTCGTGTATTTTAACTTTGGCTAAATTTTTCTCATGCAGATTTCTTATTAGGTTAACTAGGTGTTACGATACTCCCATATTTCTTATTATACTACAGAGGGCATTTTACTGAACTGAAAGTCCTTGTGTAATCTATGGAACAGAGCAACATTGATATGTTGTGTTCTCTCGCTTTTTCTATTATCTGTCTGGTGTTCAGTAACTGCACCTACATTTCTTTTCCTGGTACGAATCTGCATTATTCTTCAGCTAGCTCTGGAAGTAGAACATTTTTTAGCCGTTTATTGATTAAATGTAGCAAGATTTTACTTGCATGAGGAATAAGGGCAATAGTTTTGTAATTGCTGAATACAGTTAGTGATCCTTTTTTATGGATAGGAATAAAGGCTGATTCGCACTACTTATCAGGCCAATATCTATATCAGGTCAATATTCATATCCAATTATTAGATCTTGTGATCCATATCATGTTTCACATATTCGGTATTACATCTACGCCACTTTCGCTTATGGCTTTTAGAGTCTAAGCTGGTATGCTATCGATCCCGGGAGATTATTTGTTCCTTAGTTGTAGTTTCCACTGTGCTCGTAAGTGTATTGGTTCTCCCTCTCTGATTGCATATTTCTTATGCTCTGATACTAATGCATCTTTTAGAGTATCTATTTAATTCTAAGCAGTAATTTTTCCATGTTTTTGCGATGCTTTATGTCGGTTTTTACATACGGTATTATGATCTTATATGCCTTGAAGTTGTGGCTTAAACTCTCGGGCCAAATATTTAACTTTTTCAAATGGTTCATGACTTTGATGGCGGTTTGCATGTTACTTCAAACTCAACTCAAAATTTACTAACTAAATAAACAAGATTCTAAGTAAAGCTGGGTACACACATGCCAGTAAATCGACATCTTCTGCGTTTGGTATCGTAACCAACAAATTTCGGTTTTCCACTTTTTTAAATTGTCATGCTTCTAAACATGTAAACTAACGTATGCAATAATTAAAATTTAGATATTTCTAATAGAAGGCCTCCAAAATTAAAATGTAAAATGTCGTATGTTTACTTTTGTCCAAGTATACAATCGTATGTTCTACTAACGATATTATACAGGGGCGAAGATTTGTTGAAGAAAGTGAAAGAAATAAAGGTATGTATTATTGTGTATTGATATTTTGTAGTAAAATGAGTATGTTAATATAAACGTAATAATTTTTATCTTCACCGACGAAAAATATCGTAAGTTATATTTACTATATTTTACGTTGTTTCGCTATCAAAAAAAAATATCGTGTATGTTATATAAGATATTTTACACCGTAAAATAAATAAAAGTTATTTACTATTTAACTGGGAACAATAAATAAAATACGTTTATTGATGTTTCAATTTCCACTTCGGAAAATCGTTCTCAAAATACAAACAGTAAATTAAACAAATTTTGTTTTTTGTTACATAGTGAAAAATTCTTCGAATAATTTAATTTTATCTGACTCATTTATATTGACAATTTAGACATACATTATGCATTTTAAAGTAGACGACTTTAAAATGATATTGCCAATATTGTTGAGTTGCGCTCCTGGGACGACTTTACTTATAAGATAGTTCATTCGATTACATGAAATCAACTTTAACTTGAGAATATCCGTCAGAAAAAAATCATAGCATGTAATTCGTCTTTAAAAAGACAAACACATGACATGATGACAGTAAAATTCTCCTGTTAGTGATTCCATAGTAAATTATGAGGGAAAATAGAAATTAAAATAATAAATTATAAATTATTATAATATATAAATTATTTAAATATTAATAGTTATTAATAAGAAAATACCAGTATTAGTAAGTCAGTAACATATAGAGGATACATCATTTATGTTTTTTAAATAACGAAACATATAAAATCAGAATTTTGGTGTTTATTGAAGGTAAACTAAATGCACGAACAAATACTTACCATGTCGGGATAGTATTATGAGGTTTTTTTCCTGGTTTTTCCCTCATAATTTACTATGGAATCACTAACAGGAGAATTTTACTGTCATCATGTCATGTGTTTGTCTTTTTAAAGACGAATTACATGCTATGATTTTTTTCTGACGGATATTCTCAAGTTAAAGTTGATTTCATGTAATCGAATGAACTATCTTATAAGTAAAGTCGTCCCAGGAGCGCAACTCAACAATATTGGCAATATCATTTTAAAGTCGTCTACTTTAAAATGCATAATGTATGTCTGAATTGTCAATATAAATGAGTCAGATAAAATTAAATTATTAGAAGAATTTTTCACTATGTAACAAAAAACAAAATTTGTTTAATTTACTGTTTGTATTTTGAGAACGATTTCCGAAGTGGAAATTGAAACGTCAATAAACGTATTTTTATCTTTAATTGTGGCTTATTCCCAGTTAAATAGTAATTACTTTAAAATGCCACAAGAAAATAGCTTCAGAACAATATAAATAAAAGTAGGTATGTCGTATGTATATGATACAATGTTTTACGTTGTCGTTGACTTCGGTCGGATAATTGTGTGAGCCAAACCTCAATCAAATAGCCATATATTTACATAGTGCATCCACTTGAGGTATCTATTCGTCATTGCTTTTTAGGAGTTGGCACACAGAGTGAGGTTGATAGTGAGTTATATTTTTACTGGATATTTACTGGCAACGCTGCGGTGAAGCCAGCAGGTTAAACATAAATAAACAGTGAAAATTTTTCCAAAATTACAGGTGAAATTAAAGTTTTAAAACATAAAAATCGGTAGTAACTAATTATACTGGTGTAGAAAGTGCGAAGTGTAAAATTGACACTAGAAAAACCAATCTGGTACGATTAAACATCCATAAAATAATATCGAAAACAAGTAAGGTTATCTGCAATCCAGTCTGCGATAAGAAAACGGCCCACGTCTCAACGCCGACAGTGTTGCCAAACTTCAAAAAAATAATATAGAAAGGGAAAACAAAGTACCTATTACTGAATATATAAAAACTAAGTAGCTTTAAGAGGAGAATTGATCTCCGAAGAGTCGATCTGGATTCATTCTCCTATCGTAAAGCAAAAAAAAAATAATAATTACATAAAAACCATTATATACATAAAAATATTTTGTAAAATACAATATGTTAAATAAGTAGCTAAAATGGAATGGCAAAATCAAATTCCAAATTCAGATAATATTCAGAGTTATTCTCCCTCATTAAAAGATGCAGCATATGAGAATCCACCTATAAGAAAGGCCGGTCTGGCACGAACTCCTCCACCGTCGCTTAAAAATAGAACGAACAGTATTTCCTCAAATGAAATCAGGATAAACGCCACTAATAGCTCATCTCATTGTGCCTCAATGTCGACATGTTTGCCAGAAAACAAACCAGATCTAGAACAACAAACAGAAGCCACTGAACAAACTCGTCAGCAAGATGATGTTACAGGTTGGACTTTAATTAAAAATAAGAAGCGTCAGCGATCAGAAGATAGCCCTCCGCATAAA